AGTGGACTCCCAGGATCTCCAAATCATTTCACTCCTCAGGAAGAACAAGTGTGCGCCGGAAGAAGTCTTTAGCAGTCCAGGAATTGAGCTGCTCTGTTCCTAAGGCTGCTCTTATCATTAGTTTCTGTGTGTGGTATGGAGAGGGGGTACATTTTGGAGAAGTAAAATTTGGCCATTGGATCTACTAGATAACCCAGATCTATGAATTTTATAGTAATACTGTCAGTCTTCCCTTGTATTAATATTTAGATTTTAGAAGCAGGTCTTCATCTGAGGAAGAAATGAGGTATCTAAGTTCATAGCTAATAAGATCATTGTAGAGATGACTGGAGAAGAAAAAAACAGCACATAATTACCCTTGCTCAGAATCAGGATTACCTTCAGTGGTGTCCTGTTCATGCTTTATTCAGAAGTTATGTCAGAAATAAAGTTTAAAATTCTGTTTAAAAGTTAGAGAAATTAAGCTTAAGTACATGACAGAAAAACAAAATGGTAAGGAATAAAAGGATAGAAAGTTAAAGGTACGTAAATAAAAGCTAAAGGAACATGCTATAAGTTTAGCAAATCAAAACTAAAAGTAAGTAAAGCCAGCTAAGAGATCAGCTACAAGGATGCAGAAGGGACATTTGGCAGTGTAGTGAGTCCAAGGGCCATGAGCCCTAAGCCAGGCACATGGTGTCCCCAGAGCTAAACTAAAGAGCCTCCTATTCCATTATTCTTCTAAGACCAGGGGTCCCTGGAGGAGGGCCATGGCCTGGGCACATCCCGCACATGGTAAGCCTGCCTAGCATGTCTGTGCAGTTAGACCTTCAGGGATGTGGGAGTCTGATTAACTCGGCTGTCCCAGATGATCCTGCCACACCCAGTTTCCAGCCAGGGAGCCATCACTCACCTGCTATTACCACTCATCGCTCCACGAGCAGGGCCCTTCTCCACCTAGTGGACATGTGTCCCTCACTCAGGAGGGCAGTAAATTGGGGACCCCATCTATCTCCTTAACATTCAGGGGTTACTTAAGGCCTACATGTCTAAGGAAGTCTTTCTAATATCCTTCCTAGAATATCAGCTTTTCAAATCTTCACAGGAGAGCCAAGTGTGGTGGCTCACACCTGTAATCCCAGCTACTTCGGGAGGCCAAAGAGGGAGGATTGCTTGAGGCCAGGAGTTTGTGACCAGCCTGGGCAACATAGTGTGAGAACCTGTCTTTTAAAAAAAAATAGATAAAATAAAAAATTAAAAAATCTTCACAGGTTAGGCAGGTGAAGCTCTGAGCCTCAGAGGTGGGATACTGAGCTGCTGAGAGGAAGAGAGGACTCTGCTGTTGAATGTCCCTGAGGACTTCAGAAAGGGGCTCAGGGCTTGAATCTTGGCTCTGCCACTTACCAGCTCTGTGCTCTTAGGGAAATGACACCTCTATGAGCTTTCGTTTTCAATTTGTGAGGTATTATCAGTATACTATTACTATGTGTGACTATGTGCTCAGTAATTAGGTCAGGGAATACATTTGGTACAGATGGTGCAGTGTTTTTGTTTAAAAGCTAGAATAATCAGAGATCTAAGGAAGGAACTGGAGGGTGTTGTAGCTACCCAGCACTTCAGAACTCACCTTTCTGGGTTAATCCATGAAGTGACTCCAAATGGCATCTTGACGATTATGCTCACAAGCCGGGAAGGTATCAAACTCTGCTTTCAGAGGAAGGGCAACTTACATCCATTTTCCTCAAGGAAAGATCTTAACCACTGAGGCTCACTAAGCTTAGAGATACTTATCTCCCCTTTGAAAAGGGCGATATGACAGCAGGAATTTCTTTCAGAACTACCTGATATAGTTTTGAGCCACACAAGTGACTGTGCAATTGTGATCTCTTCTTCCCCTAGAGACTCTTGACAGAAGAGTTCAGAAGGACAGAGCTGTTTGCGTAGGCTGGGGTGGGCACACTCCTACCTGAAACAAAGCCACGGCTAGAGCAATTCCAGAAGGGCCTTCATGGGGCCCACCTCCCTTTCACTTCAAGTCAGGGCAGAAGTTCAGTTGCTGGTCTCAGGGAGGAGTCTGTTTTACTTAGTATGACATCCACAAACATACCACATTTTAAGCAGAAATCAAGATATATTTGGGGGCAAAGTGGGGGGCAGAGAAGGGATGAGAGCAAGTCTCTAAGAAAGAAAGGCACAGCACCCAGGTTCTAGTTCTTGACTTTAATGCCTTCCAAGGGTACTGAGGCTTCACACACCAAAGTGCTCACAGACAGGTACATGAACCACACAGTAAGTCTTATACTGCGTGCAGAAACCCAACACAGTACAGAAGGAAGATAGACAATGGACCCACGTGACCTCCCACACTCTGGAGGTGACTGCCTGTTCCTACACCCAATCTTCGTTTCCACCTCCCTCAACCCCTTGCCAACCCACCCTTCCCCATTTAATATATACACATATATGTGCTTTGTCCAGAATTCCAAAAAGTGCCTCTCCCACCCGAGTTCCCAACAGCTTCAGATGAAGAAAGCCTCTCTCTTTTAAGGACCATGAGACAGGCACCTCCTTCATGCAAGAGCCCCAGCAAAACAGTACCAAGAAAGCTTAATCGCTTGTATTAGAATCAAATAAGGACCGAAGGTATGCAGGACAATATTTGAAATTCTTACTGGGATCAAAATGCTCAGTGTGAGTGGTGTTTGTTGTTGCTGTCTGTCTTAATTTCTTCAGGATCCAGCCTAGACCTAGATGACACACAGATGTCCACCCCACTCCGTGTCTTGCAAATATCTATATCCTAGTCCTCCAGTGGGCAACTCAGAATAGGAAGATTCTATCACTTATCAACCTGAGGCACAAGGCTCAGACAGCTCCAAGAATACCCTAAGCCCCAGGAAAAAAGAATAGAAACTTCCAGAGTAAAGTTGTCTGCTTTCTGCATGGTATGCCTGGTGAATAAGGCAGAGGTAGAATAAGGGGGGTGACAGTTCCTTTCTTCTATTTAGAGCACTACCAAAAGAATTCCTCCCCCTGGGATGGGATGTGTTTCAGTGTAGTTTTATCTCGGTCTTGTTTGTTACTATTAGATTATTTATTTTTATTGAATTTGTTATGGCTAGCATTGCACCATACGGTCCTATCTCCTAAAACTTTCACCTTCCCAAACAGTGAGCAGGGTGCCAGGGAAAAAGGTCAAACAAAAGGCTTGCCAAAGGCAAGCACTTTGGTTTGACTCATTGATAACTACTGGCCTGTCTCAATGCAAAATAAATCTAGTCCCTTGTCAACATGAGAGGCATTTATTGACGCACAAGAATTCTATGAAAATATACTTTCTTTTTTTTTTTTTTTTTTGAGACAGAGTCTCACTGTGTTGCCCGGGCTAGAGTGCCGTGGCGTCAGCCTAGCTCACAGCAACCTCAAACTCCTGGGCTCAAGCGATCCTCATGCCTCAGCCTCCCGAGTATCTGGGACTACAGGCATGCGCCACCACGCCCGGCTAATTTTTTTCTATGTATTTTTAGTTGTCCAATTAATTTCTTTCTAATTTTAGTAGAGACAGGGTCTCGCTCTTGCTCAGGCTGGTCTCTAACTCCTGAGCTCAAACAATCTGCCCGCCTCGGCCTCCCAGAGAGCTAGGATTACAGGCGTGAGCCACCGCGCCCAGCCTATACTTTCTTTTGATCAGGGAAAAGCTTTCATCCTTTGGAGTCTTCCTTCCATACCCAACCCTTCTTGTGCTTTGGGCCTTAGAGTTGGAAAGGGATCAAACTGGGAGAAGCCACTTCTGCAGGGATGACCCCTTCACTTAGAGGCCATTACCACAAACCACCACATCCAATTACACTTTTTAACCTGGCCTTGGCTTCTCATCAGTGAATGGCCAAACTGGGCCACTGAATGCTTTAATTCCATTTAGAAAGAGGTCTAAGCTGGCTTCCCAGTGTCCTCTGCCTGCTCTACTGGCCCAGAGCCTTGTCTCCCACAGTGGCACAAACATACCACTGTGAGGACAACACAGGGGGACAGAGAAACAGGGGTGTCTCCAGCAAAAGGCACAGGGACAGTGTCACTACCCAGCATCCCAGTAACCTTCAGGACCTGTTTTTGAGCAGACTCGTGTTTGAGCAAACGAGTTTCTCCCTGTCTTAAGGGTATGGACTCTAAACAACCAAGCACTGTGATGTCTGTGGCAGGGGTGGGAAGGAGAAGGGGCCAAGGCCAGGTCACTGAAAGCACTGGGCTTAATGATCTGCTCTCTACGCACACGCACTTCCTCCTCAGTGGTTTGCCTCACTGTCAAAAGACAAACACGTTATTAGGCAGTAGGCAACGCTGATCAGAGCAACCTAAATGACAGGTTTTTCTGTTAGAATAAAGCAAGAGCCATGTTGAGCTAAGCTCCAAGCAGGGTCAACAGCTCCCTAAAAGAGACCATCTATTTGTATATGAGGACAGAGAAAGCACATATCTTAGAATATGAACAACTGTCCTTTCCTCTTAGACATCAGTCTCCAACTCTGTTCTACCCATAAAAGTGCAACATGAGTGCCAAACCACGTCCTGAAATCTGTTTCCACACAGGGGCTAGGGGGTCACTACCCTGCAGCCCACAGAGGAATTCAGCCACAGTCCCAGGGCCTGGCCTTCTCTTCGTCAGATGAACACAGATGTTTTCAGCAACCTCCTTGCCCCTACCTCACCTAGCGGGTCCTATAGGTCTGAGACCAATGGGGCTGTCCTCATAGATTCTCTCTTTCTCTCCCCCCCCTTTTTTTTTTTTTTAACTAGATGGGGTCTCACTATGTTGCCTAGGCTGGAGTGCAGTGGCTATTCACAGGCACAGTTCTTGCACACTATAGCCTCAAACTCCTGGGCTCAAGTGATCTTCTTGCCTCAGCCTCCCGAGTAGGTAGGACTACAGGCAAGTGACACCATATCCAGCTCTCACCAATTCTTTACATATCGAAAAATCTCCCTTGAAGAATACCCAGGAGCAGTCCAACAATCATAATTATAGAGAGACACCCTTAATGTAGCACAGAAATGTAACATTCTGATCAGTGGTACTGTATAGCTCTCCTTTAGGAGGTGCATGTCCATACCCTGACTACTTGGCCCAGGATGCAGACAGACCAAGAAGGAAATGCAGTGCTAACAGATCCTTGTGGATCTTTTTCTCTTTCTGAAATGTGGGGAGTATAACATAATGGAGGTTTTCTGTGATCTTCCTACAGCTCCTAGGATAGCTGTGCCTCTCACCCAGCCCCTCCTTTACTTTCCCAGGATAGACACTCTCTTAGAAGGAGAATGTTAGCCGGATAAAGCAACAGGTTTAAAAAGGGGGACCCCTTCCACAGAGGTTCACCACAGATTGGATTCTAACACATCAAATAGCAGCCAAGGAGGTATTCTGAGCCTCTAAAAAGGATATTACATTTCAAAGGTAACAGAAGATCGAGGCATCTTGCCCGCCTGACTTAGGGAATTTTCAAAAGGAGCCTTTGAAATTTGCATTCCAGCCCTGTGAGAAGATACCCTGCAGGCAAGGAAGGTTGGTGGAAGGTAGGAGAAGCTGTGGCCCTAAGGCAGGGCTGTAAACATTGTGGTTTTCTAAGGCCAACCTGGTACATGGCTTCAGCAACTACGGTTAAATCTCCAAAAGGTGGTGAAGAACATGTTCCAGGAGGAAAAGACGTCTTTCCACATCCTAAGAATGTGGGGGACTATCCTTGGAGGAGGAGGGGTGTATGGGGAGAGAACTCTTTCTTCTTCAGCCAGAGGCTGTGGGGTGGCTACTCGGGAGAATCCCCCATCATATGCTGTGTTCATACCAATACGTTGCACACAAGGAAAGGGTGCTTGAACAGGGCTAAGTGATTATGCCTCCAACAGTTTGGTAATGTGGTTCTAAAATGGGCAGAAACTCTCTTGTAAGGTCAAGAAGGTGACAAAACTCTGGACTTCCTGGGCAAGCTCTAGCTAGACCCCATCAGCCTCAAGTAAAAATTGCCATGCCTCAAGGAAAGGCCAAGTGAGCACAGGCCCTGAGCCTGACCCTGAGGTGCAGCTGGGAGACTGGAGCTGCACCTCCGTCCCGTCGGAGCTGTGCCTCAGGACTCCGTCCTCACCTCAGCAGGCTCTGGGGCAGTCAGCAGCCCCTCCAGGGATCTTACTCCCAGAGCCACCAAGGGGGCGGGACACCCTCCCTGACAGGCCTCTGTTGCCTACCAGGGCTACTCACCACCATGTGATCTTGAACTCATAGATGGGGCGCTTGCAGTAGTAGTGGTTGATGAGGTGCTTGTCACACACCCCGATGCACTGGTGGTCCACGGTGAGGCCCTGGGCTGAGAGGTCCGTGACCAGGCAGTGCAGCAGGTCATAAACATCAGCCACGGCCTCCCAGGGCCCGAAAGACACATCCACTTCACAGTGGTGCTCAAAGAGCTGCCCGTCACTCTCGCTCCGCTCGAAGCGCAGGGAGTTAAGGAGTGGACACTCGTAGGGGGTGATGGGCATCTCCTCCTTGAAGACACAGACCTTGAGCTTGGCAAAGCGGGCCTTCCGCTGTACTGCACGCAGCCGGGCAATCTCCACAATCCGCTCCAAATGGTCTAGGATGGGTGAACACAGCACCCATCACTGGGGTGGAGGGGTGGCACAGGGCAGTGGGAGGGTGCACAGAGAGTCCTAGTGACAGCAGGATGCAGAAGGGAAGAGACAGATTTCCTGGGGAAGGACTCAGTGGGCCTATGAAGGGCACGAACTTAAACAGTGGTCATGGTTGTCCAGAGCAAAAAGAAACCAATGGGATGATGTCCCTTTGAAATGAGATTTGCTGACTGTCGTAGGCAAGGTGAGCCCACCTTGACCTGAATCTTCCCAATGTGACTAGGCAGGGAGGACATTTTCTCCTTTCTTGACTACTTGGATTATCCCTGGACCCACTTGTTCTGGTGGTAGACCTAGACATGACAGATGCCTTGCAATCCTCTTCCCTCATACCCCGACCATCCCCGGCAATTGACACCTCACCTTTGTAATAGGGCATGAGTCCCAGAAACGCCTGGCGCACCTTCTCACCCTTCAGCGGCTGCATGTTCTCCAGCTGCTCCAGGAGGGGCCCGATGGCATAGTACTGGGCCTCTTTGTATACAGCCCGTACACGCTCCCAGGGAGGCAGGTCCCCTGAGCGTAGGAAATTCAGCACGTCTCTGAGCAGGAAGGAAAGAGTGCAGGTGAGAAGGAGTTAATGGACCTGCCTCGTGCCACACAGTGGTTAGACAGAATCTGGAACCAGACTGCCAGCTGTGTAACCATGGGTAGGTTAACCCAGTGCCTCAGCTTTCTCATCTGTAAAATGGGAGAAAATAATAAGTCTACCTTATAACGTTATGAGAGAGTTAAGTGCTTAGGAAATTCCTGGCACAGAGTAAGCCCTCAATAAGTGTCGCTAGTTGCTATTATCAGTATGATTATTATTACTAATATAATATTAGATATAATATTAGGTATCATATTATTAATAGGTATTACAGGTATAATGGAAAGATATAACATCTAGCCCTTTTACATATACAGAGTTTTAAACTGAGGTACAATATTCAATAAATGTACAAATCTTAATTGTATAGTTCAATTATTTTTTTAAGTGTGAATATCCTCACCCATCCACCCCCTGGATCAAGTTATAGAACATCTCCTTAAGGTTTCGTAGGGCCCCTTCCCAGTCAATCTCTAGAGAAGCAACCACTCTAACTTTTCCTTCTATTAATAAAATTAGTTTTGCCTTTTCTTGAAATTCATATAAATGGAATTGTACAATATGTTCTCTTTTGTACCTGGCTTCTTTCTTGCAACATAATGCTTTTGAGATTTATTCACCATGTTGTGTGTAACATAGTTTATTTCCTTGTATTATTAGTTTCTTTTTATTATTGATTATGTAAGTAGTATACCACTGTATGAATATACTATAATTAATTTACCCATTCTCCTATTGATGGACATTTGGGTTGTTTCCAGTTTTTGGCTGTTAAGAGTAGCTGCAATGAACATTCCCGTATAAAACCTTTTGGGGGCCAGGTACAGTAGCTCATACCTATAATCCTAGCACTTTGGGAGGCCAAGGCAGGAGAATTGCTTGAGGCCAGGAATTTGAGACCAGGCTGGGCAACATAGCAAGACCTTGTCTCTACAGAAGAATTAAAAGTTAGCTGGGCATGGTGGTGCACACCTGTAGTCCTACCCACTTGGGAGGCTGAGGCAGGAGGATCGCTTGAGCCCAGGGCCCAGAGTTCAAGGTTCACTTGATCACTCCATGGCACTCCAGCCTGGGTGACAGAGCGAGACCCTATTCTAACAAAAAAACCAAAAAAACCTTTTGTGGACGCAAGCACCAATTTCACTTGGGTAAGCGTTAGGACTAGAATTGCTCAGTCACAGGATGAATTCATGTTTAACAAAGTGGTTGTAGCATTTCTACATTCTCATCGGTAATGTAGAAGAGTTCTAGCTGTTCCTCATCCTTGCCACCGATATTATTCTATAGCTATATGAAAAAGATTAAATGCCTAACCACAATGTCTGAACAAGTTGGTTCTAGGACTGAATAAAATTACATATTGCATTTTCTTAAAATAAAAATTCAGTCTTTTTAATTCGCTTTTCAGATTCTTTACTGCTAAGAGTAATCAGACCCATCACTGGTAGCAGTTGAAGGGAGTAAACCCTAAGATCAGGCTGTTACTGAGGTAACAACAGTTTAGCCTGTGACCATAATATGACACCAGCGAACACTAAGAATATTAATCTGTGTCAGCCACTATTTGTGTGTTATCCCATTTAATCTTTTCAACGACATTATATGGCATGTGCTATCTTATCTCCATTTTATAAATGGGGCCCAGAGAGGTTAGAAACACCCTTGCTCAAGCAGCCACAGCTGCCAGAGGCTCAGATCCAGACATGGCTGACTCTAAGCCCACACCCACAATGGTCCAGGCTTCAGCAGAAGCGTTCAGACCAGTGTGGTACACTGATCACGATGGGGACTGTTCCAGGTGGAGGCCCAAGCAGCCTCCATGGTGGGTGCTGGGCGTACCTGACCTGTACCAGCAGACAAATGCACCCCATCAACTGCCCTGAACCCGTATTTTATGAGTCGTTCAACAACTTCATCTGCTGCTACTGAATCATAGGCAACTGGAGTCCAGCAGTCTGAGTATGAATGCCACCATATCCTGCTTTCTGCCATGCCCTTGCCTGCTCTGTCACTCTCCTGCTATTCCACGTGGGCATAGGCACATTAGCCTTCAGTCAAACCCTGTTCCCTCTCTCTACAGCTCCTCTTAAAATTAGTACTCTAGGATCGTCAGCAAACCTTGGCGAGCTCTAAAAATCAAAACCCTGGGGTAAGGCCCAGCTAAGAGAGCTGTGGGAGCTGCCAGCTGGGGCCAGCACTTTCCTCCCCCAAACAGCCTGCAAACAAGAATCTTTTTATAGTTCTGCAGAGCGATGTGACACTTTGTTTTCTCAGCATTGGAGGCAGCTGACAGCCCACTGGGGAAACCCAGATGCTTCACAGCAAATTATTTGACCTGAGGCTCCTTTCTGAGGATAAAAATGACCTTTTCCCACAATGTGGGCAATCCTACTTGGAGGCCAGCACAGAGATATAGTGGTTTAGAGTTTCTGCCTCCCTGGCCATTTGATTCAAGGTCAAGGACCATGTAAGTTCTCTAGTTATCTCCAAAGTTAGACTGAAGGAGCAAAGAGTTCTAGCGACACACACTGAAAAGGACCTGGCCAGGGGTCACACTAAGGCTCTTTATTTAATCCTCATTGACAGGCCTGTGAGGCAGCTATAATTATTTCTCATTTTATAAATAAGGAAACTGAGACATAAAGTTTTAAAATCATTTATGCATAAGAGTGTCAGAAGTCCTTTCTTGGGAAAGGTTATTATTATCATTATTTTTAGAGATGGGGTCTCACTATGTTGCCCAGGCTGGAGCGTGGTGGCTACTCACAGGTACCATCATAGCACACTGCAGCCTTGAAACCTGGGCTCAAGCGATCCTTCTGCCTCAGCTTCCAGAGTAACTGGGACGATGAGCACGGTCCACCATGCCCAGCTGCTTTTTTTTTTTTTTTTTTTTTTGTGATTGTGTTTTCCCATGTTTTAGTGTTAAAATGACAGGAACAACAGTAGGATTTTTTTAAAAAGAGACTTTTCTTGGCAAAATTAAAGGATGGCAACCCTGTGTCAGCCCTTCCCTAACCTTTGTTGTCGTCGTTGTTTTATACTACTGAAAGAATTTGGGGACCACTGCTACACCACATGCTTCCTCCCCAAGGCAATGTTGAGCCCCAGAATCTAGATCTGAAAGTATTCTCTGAGAAGTTGTTTTAGACTCCTCCTGCCTCTAGGTGGGATCACACATATTCCTCTCCACACAGATGATAACTTCCTGATCTTAAATTGCCTAGGATAGCTGGATGCAGTGGTATGCATCTAGCTATTTCGGAGGCTGAGGCAGGAGGATTGCTTGAGCCCAGAAGTTCAAGGCTGCAGTGAGCTATGATCACATCTGTGAATAGCCACTGCATTCCAGCCTGAGCAACATAGTGAGACCTTATCTCTAAAAAATATCAAAAATGAAAAAAAACCTAAAAATAAATAAATGAATAATAATAAAAATTTAAAAATTGCCTAGGATAGAAGCAGTTTCCTCATACCCAGCCAGTGTGGGTAACTTGGAATTTCTCTGGTGTCCTTGTCTCCTTTGGCAAAGAAACTAAGCATTTTGATCCAATTCAATAAGCAAATTTATTAAATTCCATCAATATGTTCTCTCTTCTTCTAGGTACCTTGGAAGATGCCCAAGTCCCATATCCAAGCCCAGGCTACTCACTTGCTAGGACTACAAAGTTGATTATAGAGCGAGAGACGTACCCAAAATGTGTACCATCTCGGTCAATGAAGTACCGGCCCTCGGAGTCCGTGGGGATGTAATGGCGCCCGCTGAACATGGCCGCCAGCATGGTATCTTCATAGCGCCGCAAGGTAGACAGGCGTGTAGTGAAGTGAGCCCCTCCAATGTTAAGGGGGACAACCTCGGGAAACTGGAAAGGAATCATGGGGCTCTCAGGCAGGCAGAGGGGAATGAGAGGCGGGGCTGCTCCGTCTTCAGTCTTCTCCAGTCTGATTAGTGCCAACCATTTGCTCAGTCACCCAAGTCCAGGGGACCCTCTGAACACATTATCTTCTCTCTCCTTCCTCTTCCCATACTCATCAATTGCCAAGTCCTACCCATTCTTCCCCTGATAGCTCTTAAGTCAGGTCTCTTCACCCCAACCCTGCTATCTCTGCTCTAGAGCTCAAGCCTTCATCATCGTCCTTCCACTTCCTGAATTTACCCTTTGTGTCCTTACTCATGCTGTCTTCTTTGCCCAAATGCACTTACCATTCTCCCTCTGCTGATAAAACAAAGCAATTGCCCCATATGGTGGTGCAGGTTGTTTACTGTATAAGGGCTCCTGGATGAGAGTAATCTACTAACCCAGCTACGTACCCTTTTTCTAATTTACACTGAGGCACCATATAGGTTAGCAACATCCATTCATTCAACTTCCTCTCCTCTGTGAGCTCTCTTGTCCCTCACCTGCCCCCAAGATAGAGTTAACGACATACTCCTCCACTGTGCCTTCACAGTATGCCACGCTTTCCTCTATTAGAGCACCTAGCACAATACACTGGCAATTATCGGCCTCTGTCAACACACTCCACTAGGCCCCAAGCCTCCCTAGGGCAGGGAAAGCATCTTGCTCGCCAATCAGAGCTCAGTAGATGCGTGTTGAAGGCTTCCAGGCAACCAGTCCTCTCTTACTTCATCTGTGGAGTGAGATTAGTCTCCAGTCCAGCTAAGGTTTTGGAGGCAAGGGCTGGGCAAAGAACAGGAAAATGATGGTACAGATGTACCCTAAGACGCTCGGGGTTTCCCCTAAAATGCTCAGGCTTTTTTTTTTTTTTAAATGTATTTCAGTGCTTGTGGTTTCTATCAAACTGCATCTGAAAGAAATGAGGTCAGGTTTAGTTCTCTCTAATTTTCCCACAAACTTCCTTCAGATCAACTAAAATTTTATCCCAGTGCATGTTTTTCAATATTACATCTCTCTCACTCCAGTAGAAGTCTATGTATATTTACCTAGACAGTCCCTTTTCCTAGCTTTCAAATCCTTTGTGAAATAAAGTAGGGTACAAATACATTAATGAAAACTTACCCAGGGCCTTCTGCATTGTGAGATCACAGTAAAGACTCAAAATGCATTGAATGAATGAGTGAAATAGGTGTTTACAGTTCTGTGTAGGAAAGTACTGTTACTCTTCTGCACCTAGAACATGTATAAATGCCTTCTGCTCATTCTATCGGTCCTTAGAAACCATTCTATGTGTATATACCAAGGACTCAAATATTGTTTTGGAATAATAATACTGTATATTTCTGGATCTCTTTAAACCTTTTCCAAAGATATTCATACCAATTCAAGTGTTTGCTCCATATTAGAGATTAGAAGATTGAAGGAGAGAGGACAAAAGTCATCAAAAACCCAGAGTTTTAGAGCTCACACGGAGCAATATAATTGGTGGTGGAGCTGGCCCTGGAGCCCTAGCCTGCAGTCTCTCAAACTACACCATTTCTGCAATAACAGTACACAAAAAACAGCACTGCTGGGTTTCTTTTTTTCAATTGCACAGAATACTTCTAGAATTTTGCTCATTTTCACAAGTTTCCCAGGATATTGGGGCATAGATAGGGCTTACAACCCTGACACAACACTATCTGCCCAAGAGCCTCACCCAGCCCAGCTCCCCTGGGCCACTGTCCACTGTCCCAGGACTCCACACACCACATGCTCCAGGATCCAGCACTACCTTAGCGAGGCTCCCTCTTCAGCGTCCAGCAAGGCCCCACCTTCCCTCCTCTTTTCCCTTCTCTTGAGGATCATTTCAGGTATTAAACATGATAGTATCACACGCATTAAGTAAGAGCAGTGGAAGCCACAGTGCATCACAGCACAGCAGCTAGTGAGCGGAAGCCACGAGGCTGTCAGGTGAGCATGGACACATTTGTTACTTGGCCAGCTCCTTATCTGCAGATGGCTCCTGGTCCCATTCCCTGGGCAGCTGGGTATGAACAACCACCAAGGCCTCCTCTTGGATTCTCTAGAAGACACCATCACCTCTTGGGGCTCCAGGGTCCCCCTCCCATGGCCTGCCCTCCCTCCTCTAGTTGGTAAAGGTGGGACGTAGGGAAGGGAGCAAATCAACCTTGCAGGCAGTGGGTGCTGCAAGGAGGGGTTGGGGGGCCAAGTGTCTCCAGGGTCAGGGAAGACACACCTGGTGCATTTTACACATTTTACAGAGGCGCGGGCGGGGGAGCACAGCTCCTCGGGCGCCGCCCTCAGCTCGACCCCGGACCTGGCCCAGCGCTGCTCCCCTCCCAAGGTCAGCTCTGCTCCGCACCCTCCCCACGCCCCCCTCCGTCCGTCCAGGTACCTCCTGGGGCAGCAGGGGCAGCGCGTGCCCCGCTTGCGTGGCCGTCGGGGTGGCCGGCTCCAGAAAGTCGTCTTCGGCGTCGGAGCTGGACATGGCACCGTCCGGGCGACGGCTGTCTGGCTCCCGCCCCGTGACTACCACCATCCCTCTGGCTCTGGGCAGTGGGCGCGGCTTCGGGCAGGCGGGCGGCGGCGTCGTGCCGGGCACTACCGCCGAGCAGCGGCTGGCATGACGCGGCCGGCCGCGGGGGAGGAGCCGAGAGCCGGAGCGCGGGCCGCGGGAGGGCTGTAGCTTCCTCAGCACCTACCCGCTCGCGGACCACCGCGCCGACCGCCGGGCCCCGGGCCTGACCCGGTCGCCTCCCGCTATTGGCTAAGCCCCCCAGCTCCGCCCTGATTGGCAGGACGTTCTTCCAGTCGCAAAGCAGGCAGCGCGTTCGGCCGGCGTCCCAGTGGCCATTGGGAACCGGGCCTGCTGGTCTGCCCTGCTCTGATTGGCCCTCTGGCCAGCGGGCGCGTCCCCTCCAACGCCGAACCCCGCCTGGGTAGTCAGCGCGGGGGTGCGCCGCCGCCGCCTGCTCAAAGCGGGCCTCCGCGGTGGCTCTGACTATCGCTCCCGCGGCTGCGTGGGCGTCTTGTGACTGAGACGAGGGCTCACGTCTTGCTTGTTCCTCTGTCTCCAGGGCTGCTGGTCCTGTGTCTCCTCCAGGGAGGGCCCGGGCAGCCTTTCCTGGAGGATGTGGCTGGGAGGAGGACCGAGGCCGCAGGGAGGGAGGCAGCGCTGCGACCGCTGTTGGCCCTCCTCAGGCCGGAAGGCACATCGGCTTTGCCGTCCTTCCCCACTGACTCAAGCAGGAATCCGAAAAACAAAACTCAGAATAGGAGCAGCTGAGTTCAGTTACTAATGACAGAGACTCCCCACCGTGACTGTCTGCCATCGGGCACCGGGACACACAGGCTGGGACCTGCCCTTCCCGAGGGAGCGCGGACTGGGTGCGGAGCCGGGACTGACCCCACTGTCTGCGTCGTGCGGGCGCCCGGGTCAGCTCTGGGACTCCCAGGGATCAAGGCTTTTAGCCCTTTCAAACCATTTTCACACCCAGTTCCTCATCTGATTCTGACATTGTTGTGATAGAAAAGGAAACTGAGGCCTGGGAGATCAGAGATGAACTAGTGGCCTCAGGAGTCTCCTAGGTCAGTGTTTCTCCACTTCTAGTTGCATCCAGTCCACTGGAGGGGGCCTTGTTAAAACACGGAGTCCAGTTGCACCTCCAGAGAACCTGATTCGATCAGTCTGGGGCGAAGCCCTTTGCGATTCGCATTCCTGACGAACTGCAGGGCAATTCTGATGCTGCAGGTGCACGAAGCACACTCTGAGGAGCACTGCGGCAAAGAAGGCCCCCTGAAGGCCTCCTCTTATCTACCTTTCTCAAAAACACCTGTAACAAACTTTCTTGTTTCCATCCTGATGACAATTAGGATGTTTCAGCTGTAAAAGAAACCACAACCAAAGTGGTTTACATAATGAGGGAATTGTATTATGTTACATAACAAGAAGTCTGAGCAGACCCAGGGTTGGTTCATTTAGTAACTCAACAAAGAGTTCCTTGGACCAGCTGGCCCCTCCACCCCTAGAAAACCACAGAGCTAAGAGACAGTTTTTCCAACATCCTAAGGCAAGGCTGTGTAAAGAAAATGGGAAGGAAGTCCCAGAGGCTCAGGAGGTAGGAGGAGGGGGAAAGTCCACATGCGATCAGTTTTATGTTATTGAATAATGTTAGAGTTTTTATCTTCCATTTCTGGTGAGAATTTATTTCCTTTAGGAATGTATGTAGTTTCCCATTTGGTTTTGTTTACACACCGTGGGGAGATCCAAGGTCAGCAGCTTGCTGAGTGAGTAGGAAGGGGTTGGACATGGCCTTCCAGCAAGGCAGGGCTGTTTGCTGGCAGCAACTATCCCCAGCCCTCAGTGGAAGGACTGCCAGGCCAGCTCTCTGGAAGGCTGCAGGGACGGGCCAGGGAACCTTCCAGGAGGGATGGGTGGTACTTGCCCACGCAGAGGTGGGGGTTTCTCTAAAAATGGGCAGTATGGCTCTGGGATTTAATGCTCCTCCAAGAACCACATGAATAGTCCTGCAAGCATCATGCCCTGAGATAAGTAAACCGGGTTATGTTGTTTTCTGCCACACCTCCCCAAGCAGAACTTTTGAGTACTGGCAGATCTTCAAAGTGCTGATTCAGTTCTGGAATTTCCTCTCCTGATTTTAATTTATTGAATAAATATTTTATTAATA